TCTTCTGAGTTTCTTTTTATTACATTAAAGAAGCAAAGGAATAGCAGCTTTTTTTTTTTTTAAAGATCTTATTTATTTATTTGACAGAGAAAGACACAGCGAGAGAGGGAACACAAGCAGGGGGGAGTGGGAGAGGGAGAAGCAGGCTCCCCGCCGAGCAGGGAGCCCGATGCGGGACTCAATCCAGGGACTCCAGGATCATGACCTGAGCCGAAGGCAGTTGCTTAACCAACTGAGCCATCCAGGCGCCCAAGAAGCAAAGGAATATATAACAGTTCTTAGTTGGTGGTTCTTAGGCTTCACTATTTATAAGAAGAGTGACTTTCAGATTCAGTACATCTGGGATAAGTCCTGATAATTTGCATTTCTAACAAGTTTCCAGGAATGTGCTGAAGATGATGATTTGGGAAATGCCCTTTGAGAAGTATAATCTTGAACTCCAGGAAAAATCCAAGGTTTTCCTAAAGAAAAATTTATCTTATTCAAAGAAGCCAAAAAATTGTCATCTACCATTCTAGAAGCAACATCTTTCCTTCCCTCTTCTCCCATTAAAAAAGGAAAAAAGAGGGGCGCCTGGGTGGCTCAGTCGTTAAGCATCTGCCTTCGGCTCAGGTCATCATCCCAGGGTCCTGGGATCGAGTCCCGCATCGGGCTCCCTGCTCCGCAAAAAGCCTGCTTCTCCCTCTCCCGCTCCCCCTGCTTGTGTTCCTGCTCTCACTATCTCTCTCTGTCAAATAAATAAATAAAATCTTAAAAAAAAAAAAAAAAAGGAAAAAAGAAAAGTGAAAGAACAAGTATATGTATTCCACAAAGGTTACTGAACAGTGGATTCAGATCTCTGAGTACTTCACTGATTCTGTGAAGCACACTTTTTCCTCATTTTAACATCCCTGTTAAATGAATTAAATAGAGATGCATCTTATTACTGTGTAATAGTCTGGCATTGTCTTTTGCTTTTTAGTGCATCTTAAAATCAGAGCTCAGGTGATCTTATAATCAAGTACATCTTAGACTTGATGAAATACAGTATTAAATTACAAGGACAGCAAGGGTCTTAGGGAATTTAATCCACTTAACTTTAAAAAAAAGGACGAGGTTGCATGGAAAAAATACAACCTTATGTCCTTATAGCCTGGAGTAATTTTTAAGATCCCTAGAAGAGGAAACAGTCCATGGTACCCAGTGGTCAGATGTCAATGCTTAAGAATTTTCTTTATTAAATGAGCAGAGATCTGAAGTGCAAGCATTTCCTAAAACGGAAATGATACTGCACAATCTTATATTAGAAAACTATCGAGTGTTATGTAAGCCTTATTCATACCTTCTGATCATTAAGAATAGCCTTGTTAGGGTGCCTGGGTGGCTCAGTCGTTAAGCGTCTGCCTTCAGCTCAGGTCATGATCCCAGGGTCCTGGGATCGAGTCCCACATAGGGCTCCCTGCCTGCTCAGCGGGAAGCCTGCTTCTCCCTCTCCCACTCCCCATGCTTGTGTTCCTGCTCTCGCTATCTCTCTCTCTCTGTCAAATAAATAAAATCTTTAAAAAAAAAAAAAAGAATAGCCTTGTTAGACATGCAGGGCAAATACTGTTTCCAAACCGAGGAATCTGAAGCCCAGAGATGTTAAAGGCTTTACCTACAGGAAATGGAAAAGGTTGGGCCCAGAACTTGTTTCTAGCATCTGTGGTCCAGCCAAATACATATTGAGTTTTGTCTTAATCCTTTGACCTTCTATTTGATTTCATGATTAAATTTTAACTATTCTGCCACAAAATGTGGTATTGAGAAGTTACTGAAATCTCTATTGATCAAATTCCTCATTAGTAAAATGAGGTATGTGGACAAGATGACTAAGGCTCTTCCAACTTTACAGTTCTACAATTCTAACATTTTTCATATTATCCTTAACACAGAGGGGACTGAAAAAAAGTGAAAGGAACTTCATTTACTTAATTTTTCCTCTTTTCACTGAGTTCTCTCTAGAGACTGAATGAGCACCTTCTGTCACCACTATAAGAGCCAAGACTTTTGTCATTTGGACTGCAAGTTTATTGGTGGTTAGCAAATAAAATATACCTCACTCTGAAATTAAAAGATGCCAAACAAAAATATCTATTTTTGACTTTCTATATATAAACAAATCCACCTGAAGCTTTTAAAAAGCACATTGTTTTGATTTTTTTATTTTTAAAAGGAAAAATATTCCTCTAAAAAATTACTTTGGACTGTTACTCCATAAAATATTTTAGTCCTGCAAAACTCAGGAATATCCATGCACTTCAAGGAACTCAGAATGAAGAAGCTGTAGTTTTTTTTTTTTTTAAGATTTTATTTATTTATTTATTTGAGAGAGAGAGAGAGAGAAACAGCATGATGAGAGGGGATAGGGTCAGAGGGAGAAGCAGGCTGCCCGCTGAGCCGGGAGCCCAATGCGGGACTCGATTCCAGGACTCCGGGATCATGACCTGAGCCGAAGGCAGTCGCTTAACCAGCTGAGCCACCCAGGCACCCGAAGCTGTAGTTAACCCAAACCACAATAAAGAGTTGAAAATACTGTCTGCCTGAAAAGTCTTTTCTTTCTTTTTTTTTAAGACTTTATTTTTTGACAGAGAGAGTGAGAGAGCACCAGCAGGGGGAAGAGTAGAGGGAGAGGGAGAAGCAGACTCCCCACTGAGCAGGGAGCCCGATGTGGGACTCGATCCCAGGACTCTGGGATCATGACCTGAGCCGAAGGCAGTCGCTTAACCAACTGAGCCACCCAGGCGCCCTGAAAAGTCTACTTTCTTAATTTTTATTATATGTATAGTATCAAGTATCACTTTAAGATACTCTGAACGTATTTGCCTCTAACTATATAAACTCTTAGAAGTACGGAACTACAAGTGACCAGATTTATATACACCAAAAGAATTCTTGAAAAATTAAATACATATAAATAAATGTAGAGGTACCACTTTTATTATGCTACCTAATCAAATGACACTAAACTATAGGTAATGGGATAAATGGCTCTTTCAAAATAGTCAAACACTACTCTGGGACAGTGATTTCTACTTTAGCACACTTGCATTAACTTCTACTCAGAATGTCCTAGAAAAAGAATGAGACATCACTAACATCTAAATAGAGATCTTCTTAAATTTTAATGGTAAACACAATACTTTGCTATTTTTAAAACCTCTTAAATTTGGCAGTTTCCTATTCATTTCTTTAATTGATCCTCAAACAACATTCCCTTGGAGGCAGATCTCTGAGTAGACATTACTGGACTCTAAGAAACTCAAGATCCCGTGACTACCTACGTGACACTGTCACTCTATTTCTACCCTACAAGACAGTCTTAACAGGTACCACTACAGTCGCCTTCTCCAATGTAAGCTGTTAGGCATTCCTCATCTTCACAAGTGAATTTTAATTCTACACATTCTGAGAGAGCAGCAAATATGTGTCAAGATTTAGGTGGGGACCCCTGGCCGGTTCAGTCTGTACAGCAAGCAACCCTTGATCTCAGGGCTATGAGTTTGAGCCCCATGTTGGGTGTAGAAATTATTTTAAAATTAAAAAAAAAAAGATACAGGGTTATCGTTTTTAGTGAAGGAAATCTTTTCATTAGTTTACTGAACTCCTACTGTGAAAAAAGATTAAGCTTTACACACACATATGCATATATATGTAAACAACATGTAACATTATGCATTCAGTACTTTTGGGAGCACATAGGAACAATACAGAAGTTTAAATAGTCCATCTAGCCTAACTTTACCCCCCCAAACCCCAAGGTGATTAGAAATACTAAATACACTATCTCTTGGAAGCATAAAAATTCTGCAATATCAAAAACAGCCATCCCCCATATCTTCTCTTATTTCCATAAGACATACCCGTCTAGGCATTAACATTTTTCTTTTCCCCATTGCTAGATATATTCTGTGGATTGCTGGGAAGCCTGGAATGAAATACAAGAAAGAATGGAGGAGAGGGATGCCTGGGATAGCTCTCCCACAGTAACAATCTTCCTTTATGTAACCTCAATAGTGGTTCAAAGCCTAAGAAAGTGAAAGAGATTGGTATCTGAATCTCGGCTCCAAGCTTACTGAATGAACTTGGGCGAAGGACTCATCCTGTAAACCTCAATTTTCTCATCTGTAAAATGGAGCAAAAACAGTATCTTATAGTTATGACGATTAAATAATGCATGTAAATAATGCATGTAAAGTGGATAACATAGTGCCTTGCACTAAGAGTTCAATAAGTTGTCATCTCCAAATCTGCTTTTAAAAAAAAAAAAAAAAAACTTTCCCCTTCTTTCTCAAATAAGAACTGGTAAAATCGAGGGATCCGAACAAAGAATGAAAAAGAAATTCAGAGAGATAAAACAAAACCGAAAGAGCTCTGAAAAGCCCCTCTTCGTTCCTGGGAAGGGAGACAGAAAACACCAGAATAAAACCAGACCTACTCGTTTCCTGCCGCAGGACTGGAAGAGCAAACACTGACGGGTGTGCACAAAAGTAAACAAACTCGGTGGCGCCGCCCTCTCCTCCCAGGGCTGGAAAGGAGGTGCTGGGGCGACTCAGAGCCGGGGGCTCGGATTCCTGCAGGAGGCGCAGAGTAAATCACTCGAGCCCCCGCGACCTAGCTCGTCCCCCTCTGCATTCCCGGTTGCCTCTACGAGACCCCCGGGCCGACTCCCTCACCTCCACCAGCCGACAGCTCCCGGGAACAAAGTGGATGGAAAGCTCATTCTCCCGCCCCACCATGCCCGCCGTCTCCGCGCCGCCGCCGCAGCGACCGCCACTTCCTCCAGCCCAGGATCGCCACGGGCCGCAGCTCCGTCGCCCTCGGCCCGCCTCCCTAGGTCCGGGCCGGCCCCCGCTGTCCGCTTCCGGCTTCCGCCGCCAAGGCCTCGCCCGTTGATTGGCCACGCTCAGCCGTAGCCCCCAGAAAGGGGGCGGGCGCGTTCAGTACGCTCCCAGCCCACTCGCCAACTCTTAAAGGGATACACAAAACAAAGGCCTTGGCCTTACGCAGAGAATACAAGTTTTGTTTGGGGAGGAGTTGTTTATTTTATGTACTTTTTTCTCTCTTTGTCTTTGTTCTAGACTAGGGAAGGATTGAATTGGATCGCCTAAAGTTTCAGGTCACCAGACTGTGCAGTGCGTAAGAATCAACTGGGCATGTAATACGTAAAGTAGGAGAAAACATTTTAAAGCCAGGGGGTGGGTTTGGGGAAGACGAGGAGGAGGGAGGAGAGTGGACATCTATCTCTGCAGCATTCGGAGTGTTGGTTTTTTTTCCCCCCCCCAGAGATTTAGAAAGACAAAGAATAAAAATACAAGTGTTGGCATCTGAGTCATTAACACCTCAACAACCCATTTGTCTTTCTGGGATGCTAAAAAGTGGTACGTGTGAAATTCTCCAAATAAGTCAAACTATTTTTAACTAGTTAAAAATAAAAGGGGGGGGGGCGCTAGGGGGAGTAATTATCCTGGTGCATCTTCAAAACACTGATTCTCGGACTGTACCCATAAATACAGAACGAGAATCTATGGGTAGTAGAGCCAGGGACTTTACATTTTAGCGGAATGAACAGGAATCCACACCCCATCCAACCCCGTTTGAGAAGCAGTCCCATCAGGAGCTGCCCCGTCGGGCTCCGCGAGCTTGGCCTCCTCAACCACAGCAAATTAAGTAAGAAACCAAGCGGAGAGAGTAATACGACACTCCACCACTTGCATGGCTTCTTAAAAGTAGTGAATCAAACAACAGCCCTGAGTGCTGAGAAAGACCTCGCAAGCAACTGGTTTCCCTCCCAGCTCAAAACTGCAAATCCCCGTCAGTCGGGACGCCTGTGAAATTTACTCAGGAAGAAAGCCGCTCGCCGTGGACCGTGTAGGCTTCGCCAGCATTGCACCCAACAGTCCCGAGTGTTCTTACTAGACACGCCGGATACAAGGCTTAAAAGTCGCCCACAGACATGACCGCTGCTTGGATTTTTCTTAAAAGGCCTTATTTTTATAATCCCTTTTGGTTTATTTCAGAAGTAAAGACTAAGGAGCCTTTTGAAAAAGTTCTTCTTTGTCTGAGCCCTGTGAATTTCCTTTCTACCCAACCCCCCAACAAGAACTCATTTCTTTATTCGAGTAAACAATCTTTCTTTGGAACGGTGGGGGAAGAGATCCTGAAGCCCCTCACTGTCCTATTTTCATTTGTACCCAAAGTGTTACTCTTAATCAGTTTAGCATTATTCAGAGAGTCCTTGAGAGGACTGCCCCAGCATTAAACATTCGTAATCTGCAAACAAAGAAAAGGTGAGTGTGGGTGGGTGGGGAGGAGAGGCAAATTCAAGATCCTCCTAATCCTTCTCTTGAAAAACTGGGATTTTTGTTGTTGTTAATTTCTAGAAGCAACGTGTGATGCAATCTGATCGTTCTGGTAAGAAAAAAAAAATTAAGTGTACAGTGCGAAGATTTAAGGACATGCATATGCAATTACTGTTTTTTCAATCTCCGAGCAGCCTTGTCCAGAGTTAGGAACAAGAGTTTTCTTGCCTACCTTTGAAAATTTGGTTTGATACCTCCCAGGTAAAACCTGAGTACAGTTCTAGAGGTATATGTTCATGTATATTTTTTATTCATTCTCTTTAAAGATGAAAGTTTCTCTGCGAACAAAAATGCCGTCGTTGTACAGACAATATCCAAGTTCCTGTGGTGGCTAAGTCTATAAATTCTAAGGGAGCAGCCTGGAGCTAAAGTTATGTTAGCAGATTCAGTTCATGGTAAGACAAAGAAAGGCTGGAGCACATAACTATAGATAAAAACCTTACTTATATAGAACCTTCACCTACACATCATTGCATTTAGTCTGATAAATGAAACTGCTGTTCTGTTTTGCGTTTTATTTTTGTCAATTAATGAGACTTAGCTGAGATTCAGAACCTGGTTTCTGGGGTCAGTAATTTAAGTTGGTATATTCTTCCATGTCCCAAAGTTACATGTTTTAAAGAAATGAATGACACCCGCTTCTTTTTTCTTTTTCTTTTTTTAACACACCCTTGTGGTTTTTACAAGATATTCACTAGGATGCTTTTTAAAGAAACTAACTCCAGAATGCTTCATTTCTTGAATAGCTAGCTCTTACCTGTTCCATGTCCTCCGGCATTTCAGGCATGATTCCAAAATTATCTCAGGAAAAGAGATTTGGGATGAGTCTCAGCCTCTGCCTCTTCTGCCTGGGTCTTTGTTCTGCCTGAAGAGAGCGCAGGCACGCAAAAACGTGAGCCTCAGCTTCACTCGACCTTTTAAATTAGCATTTTGATTCCAATCCCAGAATCTCATGCAGTTTTCCACATTGCAGTAAACTGGCAGCTGATTCCCCCTGGCACTGTTGAAAATACCCAATGAGAAGTTTCATGTTTAATTGCATGTCAAGTTAGGGTCCATTAGCAAAATCATTAGGAGAACCAATTAAAAATGAAGAAGAAACAAAGAAACAAAAAAACTTCTGTGAAGACTTGTTGCAATTTTCTCTTGCAGAAGAAAAGCAAGAGCTTACAGTTGGAAAGCACACAGATCATGCAATTGATTCGTGTTGTGAAATATTTTATTCAGTTATGCCTTATTGCAACAGAACCTGAAGTTTTTCCAGTGCTTTTCTGCCCAGTGCCTTCTAATTAACTATTTCAAAGGACAGTAAAAGGCACTGGTGGTAACAGCACCCAACAATTAAAATGCAACAGGTCATTTCTTTCTTTTTTTTTTTTTTAAGATTATTCATTTGAGAGAGAGAGAGCATGAGCAGGGAGAGAGGCAGAGGGAGAGGGAGAAGCAGGCTCCCCGCCGAGCCAGGAGCCCAATGTGGGGCTCGATGTGGGGCTTGATCCCAGGACCCCAGGATCATGACCTGAGCCGAAGGCAGACGCTTAACCATCTGAGCCACCCAGGCGCCCCTGCAACACGTCATTTCTATTAACACTATGCTACCTTCGGACTGAGATGATGGTAGGTGGAGTAGCTCTAAGTTTGGCCAAGCATTAAGGATTTCTAGATAAATGATTCACAAACTTGCCTGTAGCACAGAACCTATGAAACAAAATCATTCTGTAGGAGTGAAGTCCAGTAATCTTATTTTTAACAATTTCAAGGACAATGAATATACTCAGTTACATTTTAAACCACTCTTCTGGACTATGGCTTTGTAACAATTTAAGAACAACAACATGCCATTTAGATAGAGCGAAGAAAAAAACACTTAACTCTTCGTATTCTAGACAGTTCAAGCACACAGCGCACAGTAAATTCTAGAGACATGCAGAAGGTCTATAAGTCATGGAGAACTATGCAATTTTAAAAAATTGATACATTTTATCAAAATAAAAAACTTATCAACAGACAATATTAAAAAAATAAATAAGCAAATCACAAACGGGGGGGGGGATCTTTATACATATATCTGAAAAGGACTTCTAGTCAGAATATTTAAAGAACCCCTACTGAAACTGCTTAAAATCATAAAGTTGAGGGGCACCTGGCTGGCTCAGTTGTTGGAGCATGTGACTTGATTTCCGGTGGTGAGTTCAAGCCCCATGTTGGGTATAGAGATTATTTAAATAAATAAATAACTTTTTTAAAAAGTGCATAATGGGTGCCTGGGTGGCTCAGTTGGTGAAGTGACCCACTCTTGGTTTCTGCTCAGGGCCTAATCTCATGGTCTCAGTGCTCAGCAGGGCATATGCTTGAGGTTCTCTCCCTCTCCCTCTGCCCCGCCACCCTCTCTCATGCTCTGTCTCTCTCTCAAATAAATAAATCTTTAAAAAAATTAAAATAAAAAAACTTAAAGCATAAAGTTGAGCAAAAATCAAATGGCTGCACTAATGCTTTCCTGAAACTTGATTTTAAACTGAGTTGAGTATCATTTTTCCTCTCTTCCACAAACCTCCCTCCTCCCTTCTGCAAATCTCCCCTCTTCTGTTCTTAGCCTTTTGTTTCAGGAACCCAGTACCACCCTGAAAACTACTACATAGGCTGGCAGCACATACACAGTTCTTGTTGAAACTGGCTAGATCCTCTTTTTCCCTATGAAGCCTTCAGCCCTTTTTTCTAGGGGGGCTTGCAGTTTTGAAGGCCATAGCCTGCTGCAGCTTCCTTTGCCCGACCAAGCAATAAAGCTATTGTTCCTCTATTCCAAACTCTGTCTTTGTGTTATATTTTGGCTCCAAAGCATAGAGGTCGGTTATCGACAACACAACTCAATAATTTTTAAAAATCATTTTAAAAGTGGATACATTATCAACAGATAACTTCACAAAGACAAAGAATGGCCAATAATTATGTAAAAAGATGCTCAACATCTGGGAAATGCCAATTAAAATCATATTGAAACACTGTCATCAGCCAGACCCCAAGACTTGACCTTTACTGCTCACCTACTCATACCCACCGACCTTTGTCCCACATTTTTCCTTAAGCTCTTCTTTCCAGCTTAACTCAACTGAGGCAAAAGACCTGAGGAGCAGCATAGCATCCACCCGGTGATGGAAACTGAAACTACCCTTCAAGCAATAACAATTGACTGGGCAGAGTTCCCCTGAGTACCACCCAGAGCAGTTTGAGCTCAAACCCTGGCTCACACCTGCACAGATGGACCACGGAGTGACCTGTGGAATGACCGACAGTTACCTTTCCCTCATTATAATACTCTATTATTATATAATATTATATAAAATCTCCACCCAAGGAGGGGGGAACACAAGCCTCATTTACTTAATATATAATGTATGTACAGGCATGTTCCCTTTAGGTGCATGTGTGACCTTACGCCTGCCTCTACGTGCGATGATCAGGCTCCCTCCTAAATATTCATCCTAACCCTAAATAAAAGGAACCCCATTCACCCTTGTTTGGGGACTCACGGCTTTGGAAGTTATTCCCTGTGATCTCCTTATTTGCTGCAAATAAGTTTACTTTGTGCAACAACTCCGCCTGGTGTAGTTCCTATCTGTGACTTACCAAAGAGGGAACTTGTGTTAGTTCAGTTACAATACTATTACATACCTAACAGAATGGCCAAAATTAAAAAGACTGATAACATCATATGCTAACAAGCATTTTTGGCAACTAGATTGCTCATTCATTGCCAGTGGGAGTATAAAATGACACAACCACTGTAGAAAACTGTTGGGCAATTTATTATAAAGTTGAACCCTAAATCAGTAATTCCATTTCTGTATGATTACCCAGGGGAAATGAACGCGTATGTACGTAAAGACTTGCACAAGAATATTCATCGCAGCTTAATTCAAAATAACCTAAAACTGGAAATAAACCAAATATCCATTAATAGATGAATGGATAGACTGATAGATTGTGGTATATTCATAGTATTGGAATATTACTTAGCTATACAAAGAAATGAACTATATGAATGAAACTCAAAATCATTATGCTGAGTTAAGGAAACTAAACACAAAAGAGTATGATTCCATTTATGTGAAATTCTGAAACAATCGAAACTATGGTAAAAGACACTAGCTTGGGGGAGGGGGAAGGATTGACTGTGAAGGCCATAAATGAACTCTCTGAGGTAATGGAAATATTTTATATCTTATTTATTTTTTTAGTTCTATATCTTCATAGGATATGGGTAACAAGGGTATATATGCTTATCAAACTGTAAGACTTAATATTTGGGGGTGGCTGACTGGCTCAGTCGGTACAGCATGCAACTCTTGATCTCAGGGTCATGAGTTCAAGCTCACGTTTGGTGTATAGGTTACTTAAAAAAATAATAAAAATTTAGGTGTGCCTGGGTGGCTCAGTTGGTTAAGCGTCTGCCTTTGGCTCAGGTCCTGATCCCAGGGTCCTGGGATTGAGCCCCACATCAGGCTCCCTGCTCAGCGGGAAGCCTGCTTCTTCCTCTCCTGCTCACCCTGTTTGTGCTCTCTCTCTCTCTCTGTCAAATAAATAAATAAAAATCCTTTTAAAAAAATAAATAAAAATTTAAAAAAAATTTAAAAAATAAGTTGCAATTGAATTTTTTAAAAAAAGAATTAACATCTGTTCATTTCACTGTCTATATTACTACATGTAATTTATAACTCAATTTTAAAATAATAACACAGGGGTGCCTGGGTGGCTCAATCATTAAGCATCTACCTTCATCTCAGGTCATGATCCTTGGGTCCTGGATCCCTGCTCAGCAGGGAGCCTGCTTCTCCCTCTCCTGCTGCTCCCCCTGCTTGTGTTCTCTCACTCTCTGTCAAGTAAATAAATAAAAATCTTTAAAAAAATAAAACAATAACACAGTCATATTTTGGATCATTTGGGTCACAACCTTAGACTCAGTCAATAATTCCCAGGATATAAGTTTGAGGTAGGGTTAACCATTGCGTTGGTACTGTTTGCTAGGATGCAATGGGAAGTTACTCAGATCAGAGGGCTGAAAGCTATTAGCAGAAGGGAGGAGGGGGAGTAGGGCCCAAAGCAGGGAATGTCTTTTGTTTTGCCAGACCAGTACTTCCTGCCAAGGAGACACCTGGCTAGGTATTTTCCTGATAGCCCCTTGCATTAGCCATTCTGAACTAATTTGGAGCTGAGGGCTTACACAGAAGCCCCTTGAGCTGTCCTGAAGTTAGCTCATTATAATGCTAAGATCTCCTCCAATGGGTGGGGTTTTCTGCCATTTTTGAACATAACAATGTATGCTGTAGCATGTTGATGTGCTAGGCATGTGTAATTGAACCAAAGTGCCTAATAGAATATATATATATGTTCCTTAATATACATACAAACTCCCTGCCCCCTAATACAGTGAATAAAAGCTTCCTTTACTAACTGCATGGAGAGAGAGTACTTTGAGAGCTATCCCTGTCTCCTAAAAGTAATGAAAAGTTCTTTGCTTTCAACACTTCCTTGGGTTTTGTTCAATTTAGTGGACCCCAAGAGGTGAACCCCTTGAGTTCAGTTAAAGTATAAATGATGAACTAAATGGACAGTATTTAAAATTTTAAAACTCATTAGGACCTAAGAAATCAAAATCTTTTTCCTTGATAGGGTATGCACACATTTTTCAAGTTTAAGAAATAGATCTCTAAGTTATAATGATACCCCAAGGGCAAGAACAAAGGTTTTTGTTTTTTCTTTTTTACAACCTCCTCTCCCCTCCTCACTCCTATCCATTTTTTTTTTTTTAAGATTTTTATTTATTTTTTGAGAGAGAGAGAGAGACAGCAAGAGAAGGAACACAAGCAGGGGGAGTGGGAGAGGGAGAAGCAGGCTTCCCGCTGAGCAGGGAGACCGATGTGGGACTCGATCCCAGGACCCTGGGATCATGACCTGAGCTGAAGGCAGACGCTTAACGACTGAGCCACCCAGGCGCCCCACTCCTATCCATTTTTAAAATTGCCTTTGATTCCGATTTCTGTGACTCCTATCCTCACATGAATGGCTCTGTCCCAAACTCTCTCTCAAGCTATGATTTCCCATTTCCAGATGCCTAAAAGACATCTTTACCTGTATGTTCCTCTGGTATATCAAACTCACAGGTCCAAGAAACTAAAAGTAAATTTAATATTAATTCATCATCTTGTCCCCCCGAAATTTTTAAGCATGTTGATGTGTTAGGCATGTGTTTGTGAGATACTTTTATACTAATTTGTGAGATACTTTTACTAATTAACTCATAGACTCAAATATACATATGGGAATTTATTAGGGGGTAAAGATAAATTAAAAATGAATCATTAAAAATAATAAACTGGATTCCTACTTCACTTATACTAAAATAAGTTGTCGACAGATTTAAAATGTTAAGATGTGGGGGAAAAGCACTAGGCGAAAATGTGTACAATAATCTTGGGGTGAGATAGCCTTTAATGAGCATATCATGAAATTCAGAAACCAAAAGTGAAAATAACAACCTAGACTATATAGATTTTTGTAAATATCTGCATACCAACAATAGCAATAATAATAGTGATAATTAACCAAGTCAAAAGACAAACTGTGAGAAAATATATATGATGCATGAGAAATCCAGAGCTAATTGCCATGCTATATAAGGAGATTTGAAAATCAATCAGGGAAAAAAACCCCTTAACATTCAGCCTTTTAAAGTGTAGAATTCAATGGTTTTCAGTATATTCAGAGTTGTGCAACCATCACCACTATCCAAGGGACACTGCCAAATTCTTTGAGGTGGCCACTGGAATTGGCAGGTTAGTGGGGGAGGGGTATAGATGTTAAACTGAAGGCTGAGAGAAAGGACTGGAAAATAAGGATGTAGAACTCAGTATTGTAGAAAACTCTTCCAAACACTGTTATTGTGAAGAGGTAAAGGTGTGGAAGGGTGGAGGGTGCTATATAAGATCCAAGGAGGACTGTGAGTTTTGTTTCGCCTTGTTTCTTTTCAGTTTTGGAAGGTCTACTACTAGAGCACATTTGTATGACAGTGGGGATGATCCATTAAACTAATAGGAGGTATTATGAGTTGAACTGTGACCCCCAAAATGACACAATGAAGTCCTAATCCCCAGCACCTCAGAACGTGACCTTGTTTAGAAATAGGGCTGTTGTCCAATTCACATTTACAGACACAGAAATGTAGAATTCTACTGAAAGAAGGGACACTGCAAGTCTCGTGGCCCAGCCTGCCATCAGTGGAGTGGAGAAGGATAACCCTCCCCCTGGAATCACTGTCTTTCAAACAATAATACAATTATTACGAGGAGTAAAAGCAAGAGAATATGAGGACATGTGTATTCAGGTTAGTAAATTTCATAGAGGGAAGATGAGGAAGTCCTGTCTGACTGCTTCAATTTTCAGTTAAGTATGTGGTAATGCCATCAGCTGAGGGTGATGAGGAAGGAGGGATACATGAGTCAGAACTTTGAGGAGAGGACTGAACTAAAATATGTAACTTTTTAGCTAATGTAGGAGAATTTTAAACACTTTTTATTATAAAAATTTTCAAACTTACAGAAAGATTAAAGAGCTTAATGAACATCCTTATACTTTCTACCCAAATTCAACAATTGTTGGTATTTTACTATAATTGCTTTCTCTCTCTATATTTTATATTTTTAAAGATTTATTTATTTATTTTAGAAAGAAGGAGCACACTAGCAGGGAGAGGGGCAGAGGGAGAGGAAGAGAACCTCAAGCAGACTCCCGCTGAGCACGTGGAGCCTGACACGGGGCTTGGGGCTCGATCTCACCACCCAAAGACCATGACCTGAGCTTCAATCCAGAGTTGGCAGCTTAACCGACTGAGCCACCCAGGCACCCCTCTACATATATTTTAAATTAAATTTGTTTTTCTGAAATATTTCAAAATAAGTTGTAGACATCATGACATTTTACTTCTTTTAATGTCATGACATTTTACTTTTAAAAATATCAGCATTCATTTTCTAAGAATAAGGTCATTCTCTCATATGACAGCAATACTATTGTCACACTTAGGAAGATTCACAATTCCATAATATCATCTACATTTAAATTTCTCTAATTGTACCAAGAATATATTTTACAGCTTTTTAAAAAAAAATCAATATGTCATCAAGGTTCCCACATTTTGTTTACTCTTTTCATCTCCTTTGTTAAAGGAGCGGTTTTAAATTCACAGGAGGAGAGCCTGGGTGCCTCAGTCATTAAGCATCTACCTTTGGCTCAGGTCATGGTCCCAGGGTCCTGGGATCGAGCCCCACATCAGTCTCCCTACTCAGCGGGAAGCCTGCTTCTCCCTCTCCCACTCCCCCTGCTTATGTTCCCTCTCTCACTGTGTCTCTCTCTGTCAAATAAATAAAATCTTAAAAAAAAAAATAAATTCACAGCAATATGGATCCTCATATTGCCCTCCTGTCATGCCCCGCCCCTCACACTTGCAAAACCTCCTTAGCAACAACCCCACAAGAGTGATACGTTTGTTACAGTGATGAACTTACATTGACACATTGTAATCAACAAAAGTCCACAGTTTACATTAGTAAACTCTTGGTGTTGTACATTCTGTGGGCTTGGACAAATGTATAATGACATATATCTATCTTTGTAGTGTCATACAGAGCATTTTCACTGTCCTAAAAATCCTCTGTGCTCCGCCTGTTCATCCCTTTCCGTCCCCTGCCAGCTCCTGGCAACCATTGATCTTTTGTCTCCGAGGTTTTGCCTTTTCCAGAATGTCATACAGTTAGAATCACACAGTATACAGCCTTTTCAGATCGACTCTTTTCACTTAGTAATATGCATTTATTTCCCTCATGCATTTTCATGGCTTAATAGCTCATTCTTTTTGGCACTGATTAATATTCCATTGTCTGGATGTACCACAATTTATACATTCACCTACTCAAGGACATATTGGCTGTTTCCAAGTTTTGGCAATTATGAATAAAGCTGCCATAAACATTTGTGTGCAGGTTTTTATGTTAACATTCATATTTTTTCCCCTATCACATTAGCTTTTTGAAGGGACAATACCAGCTCCAGCTCTCTGGAAAAGAGAGCATTCCAAGAAAGAGCAAGTTCTATTAGCATAAGATGAAACTAGATAAGTGCCCATTGGATTTGGTAAGATAAAATTCACTGGAGAAATTGGCAGATTTGCAGAGGACTGGTGACAGAAATCAGACTACAGTGGGTTAAGAATAGAAAGACAAGGGAGAAAGAGCTATACTATGTACCTTTTTCAGAGGTGGCTTTATTTACTTTTTAAGATTTTGTTTATTTGAGAGAGAGAGAGAGAGAGCCCACCAGTGGGGGGAGGGGCTGAGGGGCAGAGGGATAAGATTCCCCACTGAGGAGGGAGTCCCACTTGGGGCTCCATCCCAGGACCCTGAGATCATGACCTGAGCCGAAGTCAGACACTTAA